GCTAAAGTAATTACCTCTAAAATTCCAAAACATAAAATGTGCATCTACCCATAAGATAGTCTCTAATTGCAGGATCAGGTTGATGCAAGAGGAAATCTTCTCTCACTTTGCTACTGGCTAGAGCCACTGTGTTAGGAGAATAAAACACTCACACATGGACACTCCTTGGCAAGTGTCAATCCGAAGCAGTAGCTCATTGCTTATTATCCGGTGTAGCGCCTGGGGCACGAAGTCCTGCAGGAAGCCATATAGCTCAGAGAACAGGCCTCGTATGTCCTGCAGTAGGGCGATTGTGAGCATCCCCCCTGCCTCAGAGATGCTTGCCACAAAGGTCACAAGGGGCTTGGCCCTCACACCCTGCTCCCTGTTGTTGCTGCCAGGTCCCACCAGCTTCTGGGTCACTCGGGCCTCGGTCACTAGCCACTCAGCCCCCATGTCGCCCTCCTGGCCCTGCCGCCACCCTTGTCAATGTGCGGTGCCGCATGATGCAGCGCCAGATAGTATGGCCCTGGCACGGCTGGGCCGATGTTGGGTGACCCTGTCCTTCCTCCCTGGGGCCTGGGCACTGGCTAGCCACCACTGGTAGGTCCCCTGGCTGTCTGGAGCTCTTCGTGCCCCAGTCCTGTGCTGCCTTGCCAGCCTCTGCAACTGTCTCCTTTCCTTTTTGACTGAGGTCCCCTGCATGTCGTCACAGCTCCTCAGCCCCATCCTTGTCACCCTCTTCGTGCCCCTCTAACTTGAGGCTTTTGCCAGCTACTCCCCGGGTGGCCTCCTCCATCTCTGCCCTGGGCCTTGGTCTCTTTGTTCCCCGTTCTATCTTGGCACCCCAGTGTGTCCTGCAGCACCTGGACCAGAGCAGTAGTGAGGTGGGGGAAAGGCGCTGTGGGCAGGTGAATAGGAGCGGCCGGGAGCAGCAAAGCGGGAGGGCATAGCTGCCGAGGCAGCGGCAGCCCCCAGTTACTGCCTTGGGCAGAGCTGCGCTGATACTTTAGGCTCTGGCAGTAACTGGCTGCAGCTTCCATTTTACCGCCTTGGGGTCCAGCAAGTTGCTGGCAGGGCCCCAGCAGACCTGCTTTATTTTCAGGAATGGGCTCCACTGCCTGCGCACCCCCCACAAGCGGCTCTGTGGTTACTGCCTCTGTAGCCACGGGGGATGTGCCCCGCCTCTGTGCGCGCCGGCCATCGCTTTTGTTCTGGCCACCAGATATTTTGTTTCTGTCTGGATTCCAAGTACCAGCACCGGCACAGGACGGGCGCCTGCCCCTGCATCTCTCACACAGGTCTTGATGATGAGAGTGTTTGGAGCCCACACGGCAAAGTCTTACTGAGCAGGAACATCAAGTTCTTTTACAACTGTGACAGGTGATATCCTCCACTCCGTAAGGGTTGTAAGATTTCTGACACATTCTGCAAAACTGTTTAAAGTAAACTTTGTTCGTACCCTGGACACACCATACATATGCACTCTCCCAGCAAATGTTGCAGTCTTTACAGTGATAATAGCCATATTTTTGCCCAAAGCGCAAGTGCTCCTTGCCTGGTTCAGCCCTCAGTGGCAACCTCTCCTGCACAGTGGTGGTCACATCCCTGGCATCCCCAGCCCTCCCTGCTGCCAGGGGCTGCTTTGGCCTCTGCAGCATGGGCCGTGGGGCCGCCTCACTAGTTTGAGGCTCTTGCTGCTCCTGCTCGGCCCTTGGCAGTGGAGATGCCTTCCTTGCTGCCGCCTTGTCCTCCTCCGGTGCCACAGGGCCCTGCGTGCTCACTGGGGCCTCCTCCAGGCAGCTGGTGAGGCAGTGGGAGTGCGGGAAGCGTGCGGGGCCAGCTGGGCTTCTGAGTCCCGGGCCCTGGACAGCGGCATCTGCCACCCAAGTGCACAATGAACTGAAGCATCACATTGTGGTTTCACCTGCATCCCCACATCACGGCAACTGCACCTGCAGGGGCACGGCTCAAAGCCTGGGTTCAAGTGCGACAGGAGGGTGGCGGAGGAGAATGAGGCAGGAGGGTGGCCCCTGCTGCAGATCTGCCAGGCATCGGCAGCCTTGACATCCAGAGAGTAGGGAAAGGGATAAGAATAGGGGGTGCATGACAGATACCTGAATGCACCCAGCATTTCGTCCCCCATTGCATCCATCTGGGCAGCCCCTATTGTTTGGTGGGGCTGAGGCAGGCTCCAATAGCAGTTTTCCAGGAAGGGCTAACCTTTCCCGACAGTTTTAGTTCTACACTGATTATTCCAGTGATACCCTCGTCGACACTTAGTACAAGGACTGCCAAGTTTAGCTGAAGGGACAGATAATGGTTGTGCTGCCCTTATAGGTGTAGCAGAGCAATTACAGGTGAAATGTCCCTTACTGCCACAACGAAAACAAACAGCCTTTTTTTTCCTCCTTCTCCCAGCCTGTAGATGAATAATTTGAGTAATTCCTGATGCCAAGGCAGCCCCCTGTATATATGAGGGGCCAATATCTGCACAAATCCAAATCATCTCTGGCAACGTAGCCCGTCTTTTGTGGACTCTTAAAGTCTCTTTACACCATCGATTTGCATTTTCAAAGGCGAGTTGTTGAACTATTAATTTGCTAGCTTCTGTGTTACCTATGATCCTTTCACTAGCTTGCATTAGGTGTGCAGCAAAATTTTGAAAAGGCTCATCTGGGCCTTGATAAATAGAAGCCAAACCAAGGGCTGTCTCACCCTTGGAAGGAAGTTCCTTCCAAGCCCTCATGGCAGCCACCTTGGTTTGCTCATATGCTGGCAGTTCAAAGGTTAGTAGATTATTGGTGATAGCAAAGGCACCTTCCCCAACTAGCATATCCTTTGTAATGGGTATGTTATGAATAGCATTACGAATTGCCTGGTCTGTGCAATATTCAAAGAAGTTTCTTTTCCATAGTAAGTAATCACCTGGATTCAAACACTCCTTGGCTACTGCCTTCCAATCATTTGGGGCCATAATCTCTTGTCCTAGAATTTCCATTAAACTCAAAGTAAAGGGAGCAGTGGGGCCACACATAGCAACAGCTTGTTTTAAAATGTATGGCTTCGGGGCTGGGGATTTAGCTCAGTGGCAAAAGCGCCTGCCTGGCAAGCGCAAGGTCGTGAGTTCGGTTCCCGGTACCAGAGAAAAACCACAAAAAAAAAAAAAATAAATAAAATAAAATGTATGGCTTCATAACGACGTATAACTTGTCCTGGATTTTCAGGAACTTGAACTTCAGCTACAGGGTAGATATGCTGAAAACCCTCCATGGTCTACCCCGCCCCTCTAGTGTCTTTTAATGCTAATTGCAAGGGAGACAGGGAAAGTGGCTGTACTCCCTGAGAGACAGAAGACACCAGTGTTGCAGCCATATTTCCCCTAGCTGAAGAAGCTGGGACAGTCGCCTGTGGCTCAGTCACCTTAACCAGGCTTTATGAAAGGGTATTTGCAAGGACGCACCCCTGTGGTGGGGAGTCTGTCTTGTCCCCCCCCCACTCTTTCCTTCTTAACCTTGACCAGGCTAGAGGGCTTAGGCTCTACAGGCGGCGCCGCTGCTCCGCTCTCCATGTCCCGCTTAGGCTTGGGACTCGATTTTAACATAATGTTCTGAGCCAAATCCTTCATGGTTACAAAACCCCTCCAAACCAACATCCAGAAAATCAAATACAGGAGTCAAACATGCAACAAACACTTCTACAGAAACACCCGCCACCCCGGGGAGTCTTGAGACTACCTACACTTCAATATCCCTTTCTCTTTGGCTTCTTCGAAACCTGTATATTTTCTAGCCCTAAAACACACGTATTCCCATGCTTTCCACCTGACGTGCAGGTACCACGCACTCCAGTGCTGAATACTAGCTCTCACAAACGCACCTCCCCGCTTCTGTTGCGCGCTCTTGGGAAGTGTTCTCACCTCCCTCTTCATCCTACCGGGGTCCCTTCGTGGTCGCCAGTTGCAGGGATCGGTTGGGTTCTTGCCGTACCCCGGGAAGGAACGGCGGCAAGAATGAGGAAAAAATAGACAAGAGACAAAAGCTGGGATCAGGTGGAGGTCCTCTTTCTCAGTGGAGAAGGGGAATTGCCCAAGAACAGTGGAGCGTTTATTTATACCAAGAGGCTGGTTAATTTCCGCCTCGCTGTCCAGCAATCGTTTAACAAGCTACAACGGCTTGTTTACACGCTTTGAGGAGCTCCCGTGTCCTGGGCTCCCGTGGGCTCGGGCTGGCTTCGTCCTGCACCTGTAATTACTTTCCAGCCTCCGCGGCTCCCGACAGAGCGGGTCTGAGGATGTAGCTCAGTGGTAGAGTACTTGCCTAGCATGTGTGAAGTTCTGGATTCGATCCCCGGCAGCAAAGAACAGACTACAGAAATAAGAACAAAACTAGAAAAAAAGAGGCTGTTTGCCCTTTTAATGATTTTAAATTTCTTTCAAAAATAAATGACTTCATACTTCGTCCAGCCTCTGTCATCTTTTCACCAGCTCTCTATTGCCCTCTGTTGCTCTTTTCTAAGAGTTGCAGGTAGTCTCAACTCATTGCAGCCCAACTGCAAATATTAATAAGGAAAAATACTACATGTGCGAGTTTATTTTTTTAAAAATTAAGTTTACCGGTACATTTTAGGTATACATGATTACATTTATCACAGGGAATTTGTACCTGCACATAACTTGATTCTTTGTTTTTCCATTCCTCTACCCTCCCTTCAATTCCTTTCTCTGACTTTAGTTATCTATATCATCTTCACTGAACCCTACTTATTCTTATTTTATTTTTCGAGGTCCTGCGGATCCCACCCAGGCGCTTGCGAATGCTAGGCAAAAGCTCTACCACTGAGCTTCACCCTCAGCCCACTGCTCTATTTTTTACCACGTGGTCCGCACAGGAAATCACAGCCAGGGATGTGGCATAGAAAAAGCGCGTACCAAGGCCTTTAACTGCGCAAGGGCTGACGGGAAGCCCAGGCTTGCGGGGCGTGGAGAGCGCAGACGTCATCGCCCCGCCTCAAGCCCCGCCCCCGGGTCACGTGACCGCAGGACGCTCTGGCTAACGTGGTTTCCACTAGCGAGGGCTATGGCCGGCTTGGTGGACTTCCAGGACGAGGAGCAGGTGAAATCCTTTCTGGAGAATATGGAGGTGGAGTGCAACTACCACTGCTACCGCGAGAAGGACCCAGACGGTGAGCGTCGCTGGTGAAGCCTGGGGACACGTGTGTGGGGTTGTTAGGGAACTGAGGGGACTTGCAGGGGTTCGCGTGGCTGGCTGAGGACGGGGAGTGTGGGACGCTCACGACGTGGTGTGGCGGGAGGGGAGTTGTGTCCCCGGAGTTGCGCGGCCCCTGGTGGACGTCTGCGCCGCGCCGCGCCGCGCCGCGGGTTGGGGCCGGACAGACTGGTTAGTTTTGAGGATAGAGGGACTAGGGCAAATCAGTGAGCGCACGCAATGCTCTGATCTCAGCGAGCTTAGAGAGCATTACATTCTTATAGAGAGGGAGTCGGTCAGAAAGCGGAAGGTAGTAAGTGCAACGTATGTTAAACGCTAATGGTGCAGTGGGGGAAAAGAAGTGGGACGGTGTCAGGAGTTCAGGGGCACGGTTTAAATTGATCAAAGGGCATGTGAGCAAAGTCTTGAAGAAGGTGAGAGAGTGAATCACTCGGATCTTTACTAGAAGTAGGCAGAGCTGGTCCGTTGTGGACATTGAGTTGATTGAGTGTATGGGTGGATGACGGCGTCCAAGGGGGCCACCCAAAGCAGCCAGTATCTTTGGGGGCTTTCTTCCTCCTGTTCTATTATTTTTTTAAAGGGATAAACATGGCACGGGCCCTACCTTCTAGTAGCATGTAGGCTCGTCTCCACAATATCGCCTCACTATTTCTTGAAGCTGACCAACTACAGAGTGACTCTGCAGTATGATAGGTGGAAAAGAGCCCCAGAGTGTTCTTTGAGAGCTAGTTCATGTCCTGATTATAGAGAAACTTCAAAGGAATTGGAGTTACTGAGAAGCAGTGTGGTTGGGGGCAGTCTAGGGTGCAAACACACGTTGGTTAAGTGGATGTGGTGAGAGAAGAGTACTCTTTTAGAAAGTTAAAGTCGGGATGCAGTCAGAATTAAGTCTTTTTTCTTTTTCTTTTTTCCTTTTTTTTTTTTTCCCCCAGTTCTGGGGATTGAACTCAGGGCTCCACACACACTAGGCAAGTGTTCTTACCCCAAACCCTAGAATTAAGTTTGAAGAAGGAACCTCAGCCACAGGCCTTGAACACCAGGGTAAGGAATTTAGACTTGATATTTTAGGTATATCGTTTGAGCAGAAAGTTCATGGCTAGTATGCTGTTGAGAATATACAGAGAGGAGGAGGAAGGCCATACAAGGACTGGCTGCAGCAATTTAGAAGGAGACCTGAGAAAGGGCTGTGGTTACTATCATTATTAATGTTTACTGAATTCTTAGTACTTACTGAATTATTAGTTCCTTAAAAGTCTTAATCTTGCATCTAGATAACCAAAATAGCATCCTAATCTGTTCATTTGTACTCGCCCTTAAAATCTACACTGTTATCATCTTCATAAGTATCCCTTCATACGCATAACTACCTCCCTTTTACCCAGTCATACACAAACACACCTACCCAACAACATTTTTAAAATGCAAATTGAATCTTGTCACTTTCTTTTTCTTTTCTTTCTTTCTTTCCTTTTTCTCTCCCAATACTGGGGATTGAACACCGGGCCTTTGCACATGTTAGACAAGTGCTCTACCCCTGAACTACATCCTCCAGCCCACTTCCTTTCTTAAAACCCTCTCTGTGGTGGGTTTACTGTTGCACTTAAGGTAAAGTACAATGTAGGGCTGGGGATGTGACTCAGTGGTATAGTGCTTGCCTAATAGGCATAAGGCCCTGAGTTCAATCCCCCAGTACTGGAAAACAGAACAAAACACAGACTCTCCTTCCGATGCTCTGCAAGGCTCTGTGATCTGGTCTTTGCCTCCCTCTCATTTCTTATCTCACTCCTCAGTCATATTACACCTTATTTATGCCCGGCTTATTTCCTCTTTCAGATAGTTGTATTTATGTTTCCTTGTGCCAGGACTTTCTGCCTCCTTGCCATTTTATTGTCTTGGTGAGGCCTTCCTTGATTGCCTTGTCTCTATTAGTCATTCCCTGCAATGTGTACAACAAACTCATCATCCTGTTTTATTTTAATCATACATTTATTGTTTGAATACATTGGTTTATTCTAGGGTTTCCTCCCCTAATGTAAATTTTAGGAGGGCAAGTGATTATTCTCAGCATTTGTGTACATAGATGTACATGGTTATTCAAATGTTTGTTGAATGAAAATGAGAAAGAAACTATGTGTGTTATTGTTGGGGATAAAGAGGGAGGGAGGGGAGAGATGTTGAAGGGAAGCTTGCGGGGAGATCACCAAGGAGTGGGGACAGGGAGCCTGTTTTTCGGCTCTTTTGGTAGCTGCTGTTTCTATTCCTCTTTGGGCTTTAAGTTGCCAACTTGGCCAAGGAATAATACAGTCATCACTACATGACTTGCTGCTGCAAGATTAGCCTTTGAGCTCTTTGGGTTTTTTAATGTTTTTTACTGCTGTACTTCATGAAATGTTCTAGACTTTATGAGAAGTTCCAAAGCTAGAAACATTTCAGTCATGAAAGTCAGTAGGCCCTGGGCCAGACCTATAGGGAGCAGAAGGGCTGGTGGGTGGTAGAGCCACGGAGGGGCCAAGGTCTTCCCAGACCATACATTGTTCAGTCCCTGACTAAGGGGAGACAAGGCCACTTGTGGGACTGGCTGAGACCGCCTATGTTTTTTGTGGTGAGGGCAGCTTGCTGGGCTTGAGGAGAACTGGAGCTGGTCCTAAATAAAAGGCTCAGTCTAACCCATCCACCCGCTCCCTCCAAGCAGCAGAGGAGCAGCTCCAGATGTGAACATTTCTTGCCTTCTGCTCACAGGTTGTTACCGGTTGGTGGACTATCTGGAAGGCATCAAGAAGAATTTCGATGAAGCTGCTAAAGTGCTGAAGTTCAACTGTGAAGACAACAAGCACAGTGACAGCTGCTACAAACTGGGGGCCTATTACATAACTGGAAAAGGTACTAGGGGCCTGCTTTCCATGGGCCTTGCTGACAGCAGTGCTGGCATCACATCCAAGCTAGAAGATGAGCACTCTTAGAACTGCCCTCAGAGTATAGTCACCATGCCGTTCCTCAGATCTCCAGGTCTTACTCATTCTGCCCAGCTGAAACTTTGTCCCTTTGACCAGCATCTCCTCATTTCCCCAGACCCTGGCAACCACCATTCTACTCTCTACTTCTATGAGTTTGGCATTTTTAGGTTGCATATGTAAGTGAGATCATGCATTATTTGTCTTTCTGTGCCTGGCTTATTTCACTTAGCATAATGTCTATCATAATGGCATTTCATCCGTGTTGTCACAAACGATAGAATTTTCTTTTTTAAGGTTGAATAGTATTCCACTGTATATCTATGCTTTATCTTTTCATCTGTTGGTGGACACTCAGGTTGATGCCATATCTCGGCAGTTGTGAATTACGCTGCAGTGAACCTAGGAGTGAAGATACCTGCTTGAGATACTGATTTCATTTCCTTTAGATAGCTACCCAGAAACGGATTGGTAGATTATAAAACAATTCTATTTTTAAGTTTTTGAGGTATTGTCATATAGTTTTCCATGATGTCTGTACCAGTTGATGTTCTTACCAACAGTGTACAAGGGTTCCCACTTCTCCACATCCTCACCAACACTGGTTATCTTTTGTCTTTTTGATAATAGCCACTTTAACACGTATGAGGTGATATCTCATTGTAGTTTTGATTTCAATTTCCCTGATAAGTAACATTGAGCATTTTGTCACAGATATGTTGACCAGTTGTATGTCTTCTTTTGAGAAATGTCTGTTAGGTCTTTTTGCTTTTATATATTTATTTGAGCTTTTCTTTTTTTGATGATGATACTGGGACTTGAAACCAGGGACTACTAGGCTATATCAAAACCCCCTTTTAAAACTTTATCTTGAAACAGAGTCTTACTAAATTGTTCAAACTGGCCTCAAACATTTGATCCTCCTGCCTCAGCTTCCTGAGTACATGGGGTTACACACCTGTAGCACCCTGCCTTGCTAAAGGGTTATCTTTAAGAAATTTTTATTAGTACATGTTTGTAGTATATAATGATTACATTCATTGTGGGAAATTGATACATGTACAAAACACATCTTAATTCTCTTTTCCCCTTTCTCCTCTACCCCTCCTGGTGGTGGTGTTTTTGGTCAGAATCAGATTGATTTATTTATTTTATATCTTTATCAATTTATTTATAAACACAGATTTTGGTGGGTTTTTTTTGTCTTTTTGAGACAGGGTCTCACCATGCAGTTCAGGCTGGCCTTGAGCTCACTTTGTAGCCCAGGCTGGTCTCGAACTCACAATGATCCTCCTGCCTCAGCCTCCGAGTGCTGGGATTACAGGTGTGCGCCACCACGCCCGGCTCTTATAAACACAGATTAACAGCCAACCTAACAGGCCAAGAAAACATATAAAACAATTTATATTAAACGAAAGTACACTTTTAGATGCATTGGCCATGATGGATTATAATAACTTTTTTCTTTTTCTTTCTATTGTCTGCCCTTAATTTTTTCATGTTTTTTGTTTGTTTTTTATGGGAATCGAACGCATGACCTTGTGCTTGCCAGGCAGGCGCTGTGCCACTGAGCTATATCCCTGGCCCATCTGCCCTTAAGTTTGTACTTTATTTATACTTTGGGTTTCTCATATAAGAGAAACCATGTGATATTTACACTTGTGTCTGATTTATTTCGCTCAACATTATGGTCTCACAGTGCACCCATTTTTCTCTAAATGACTTAAGTTTATCCTTTTTTTGTCTTAGTCACTTTCTTATCACTGGGCACAATACCTGACACCCAAGACTTAAAGGAAGACAGGTTCAGTTTTTGTTTTTGTTTTTGAGACAAAGTCTCTCTACATAGTTCAGGCTGACCTTGAACTCACTATGTAGTCCAGGTTGGCCTTGAACTTACAGCAGTTCTGCCTCAGCCTCCCAAGTGCTAGGATTACAGGCATATGTCACCATGCCCGGCAAATTTATCTTCCTTTATGGCAGAATAGTACTCTGCCATTAGTACCACCACATTTTTTTATGCATTCATCTGTTAATGGGCATATAGGCTGCTTCTAAGATTGAGCTATTATGAAACATGGCTACACATGTATCATTATAACGATGTCTCTAACTCTTTTAGGAAGAGACCTAGAAAGGGAATAGCTGGGTCAAATGGAATTTCTAATTTAAGTTTTTTGAGGAGTCTCCATACCAGTTTCCATAGTGGTTTTACCACTTACGATCACACCAACAACGAAGAAAGGTTCCTTTTTTCCCTGCAGCCTCTTCAGCATTTGTTGTTTGATTTCTTTAAGACAGTCATTCTTTCTGCAGTGAGATGAAATCTCAGTGTTTTAATTTGCATCTCTCAAATGGCCAGTGATGCTGAACATATTTTTCATATATTTATTGGTCATTTGTACTTCTTTACATGAAAAGTGCCTGTTCACATCAGATGCTCATCTTTTCTTTTCCATTCTTTTTTTTCTTATTTTTTTGAGGCAGGGTGTTGCTATGTAGTTTCATCTACTCTTGAACTCACTCTGTAGCCCAGGCAGCCTCAAACTCATGGCAATCCTCCTGCCTCGTTTTCCCAAGTGCTGTGATTGTGGGCAGGCACCACTATGCCCAGCTTCAATGACCATATTTTGAGTCCTTAAATTTGGAGGAATCTAATTTTTTTTTGAGTTCTTTATATGTTATAGATATCAGTGTTGAGGAGTAGGTGGAAAATTTTTTTCTCATTCTGTACATTGTATCTTCACTCTGTTGGTTGTTTCCTTTGCTGTGCAGAAGCTTTTTAATTTGATGTGATCCTGTTTGTTAATTATCAGTATTATTTCTTGTGTAACCAGTGTTCTGTTCAGGAAGTCTTTGCTTATGCCTGTGTCTTCAAGAGTTTATTTTATATTCCAGCCGATTAAGTCTCTGTTTTAATATTTAGACCTTTGATCCATTTTTATTTTAGATTAGTGCATAGTGAGAATATGGGTCAAGGTTCAGTCTTTGGCATGTGGACAGCCAGTATTCCCAGTACCATTTGTTAGAGAAGTTATTTTTCCTCCAGCAAAAGTATTTGGCTCCTTTGTCAAAGATAAGGTAGCTTTATGTGCCTGGATTTGTTTCTGTATCCTGTGTTCTGTTGCATTAATCTACAAGTCGGTTTTTTATTTGTTTGTTTCCAGCACCATGCTGTTTTTATCATTATAGCTTTGTAGTATAATTTGAAGCATTATGGTTGCTTTTGCTATTCTAGGTCTCTTCTGGTACTGTATGAATTTTGGGATTGCTTCCTCTAGTTCTGTGAAGAATGCTGTTGGTATTTTCATTGGGATTGCATTAAATCTGTATAACAGTTTTGGAAACATGGTCATTTTAAAAATATTGGTTCTATCTATCCAAAATCAAGGGATATCTTTCCATTTTCTGATGTCCTCTTTGATCTTTTTCAGAGTACTGAAGTCTTTGCTGTAGAGGTCTTTAATTTCCTTGGTTAGGTTAATTTCTGAGTATTTAATTTTCTTGATATTATGAAAGATATTGTTTCTGTCAGTGAGTTTATATTGGTTTACAGGAATGCTATTGATTTTTAAGTGTTGATTTTGTATCTGGCTATGGTACTGAGTTCAGTTATTCTAAGAGTATGCAGGGGATTTGGGGTCGTCTGTGTAGAGGATCATGTCATCTGCAAGTAATAATAATTTAATCTTCCTTTCCTATCTGTATTCCTTTTTCTCTTAAGTGTTCTGGCTTATGTTTTGAGAGCTAATTAAATAGGAGTGGTCACATCTTTGTTCCTGTTTCTAAAAGAAGAGCTTTCAGCTTCCTTGCATTTAATATGATGTTGGCCATTGGTTTATCATAGAAGGCTATGTCAAATTGAGATAAAGACCTCCTGGCCAGGTGCAGTGGTGCACGCCTGTAACCCAGCACTCAAGAAGCTGTGGCAGGAGGATCACCATGAGTTTGAGGCCAGCCTGGGCTGTATAGTGAGTTCAAGGCCAGCCTGAACTACACAGCAAGATCCTGTCTCAAAAAAACGAAAAAATAACAACAGAAGACCTTCTTTACCTGTTTTCTTTAGGGTTTTTATCATTACTGAATATTGGATTTTGTCAAGTGTGTTTTCTGCATCTGTTGAGATGATTGTGTGGTTTTTGTCTTTGCTGCTGTTTAGGTAGTAGTGTATTACATTTACTGAGTTGTGTGTGTTGAACTGTCCCTGAATCCTGGCATGAATCCTACTTGGTTGTGATGTATGATCTTTTTGACCATTTGCTGCATTCTCTTTGTCAGTGTCATGTTGAGTTTTGCATTTATGTTCATTAAAGAGATTGGTCTGTACTTCTCTTTTTAATATTTATTTATTTAGTTAGTTAGTCTTTTTTGAGACAAGGTCTCACTATGCAGTTCAGGGTAGCCTTGAGCTCACTTTGTTACCTATGCCTGACTCCAACTCAATAATCCTCCTGCTTCAGCTCATCTACTTCTCTTTTTTAATTGGGTCCTTTTCTGGTTTTGGAATCAGGCTAATGCTTGCTTTCAGGAATGACCTTGGGAGTACTGCTTCCCTTTTGATTTCATTAAAGTTTTGAGGAGTGTTATGTTAGATATTCTGTAAAGTTCTTATAGAATTTGAAGGGCCAGGGATGTAGTTCAGCAGTACAGCGCCTGCCTGGCAAGAGCAAGGTCCTGAGTTTGGCCCAGTACCAAAAAAACAAAAAACAAGGAAGTATTAGAATTTGGCAATGAATCTTTTGGGTCCTAGATTTTTCTTAGTAGTTTTTGAATTACTTCTTCAGTTTCCTTGACTGATATTGCATTATTCAAGATTTTTATATCTTGGTTCAGCTTTGGGAGTTCATATATATCTAGGAATCTATTTCTTCGGACATTTCCATTTTATTTGACAGGTTTTGCAAGTAGTTACAGTGATCTGGATTTCAC